CCTCCTCACAAATCATTAAAGGTTTTATAACTTCACTCTGACTAGTAATACCTTGTAAACTGGCGGAGTCAGAACTGGACTCTGAAGCAGTAACTCTATTCTGTGACACTCTATTCAGCAACGGCTTACCAGTTGCAACTACAGACTTCTTCACAACAACGTTATCGTCACACAATTCGGAGTAAGGCCTGGAGTTTACATTTAGCTTATCACTGAACTTGCTCACTGGTTCACAGTTCACTTCTGTATGCACCTCTTGCACACGTGTAGAACAAAGCCGTGTTTGTCTTGCATCTTGTAACTTATCTGTTGAGGATGTACTACGAAACCTGTTACACTCACTAGGTCTATATGCATTACTAGACATCATGGAGTCTTCTCGATATCCACCTCTCTGAGGCTTATTCGTCATCAATGAGTGCGTTTTACCCTCAGACTGCTCTATTCTAGGGGTGAGATCTAATAGACTGGAAAACTTGCTCATAGATTGATTGACACTAGTATTTACCAGTTTCAGGATATCATCAAACTTTGGCTCGATACCCTCATCCTCCATACGGGAGCTCATCTTCACCCACTTCCTTTGCAGTCGAGTAGGTAGACGTCTTGCTATTACTTCTAGTATAAAACTCGAGTTGAGGTCACTCGTGCGATTCATCGAAATCATTCCATTCTTGTAAATTAGCAAATTATCTAAAAACTCAGTGAGTGCCTGGGAGTCATCCTGTAATTGACTGTGATTACCCTTAACAGCGTCGAATAATTTCCCTGCAATCATCGAAGGTCTTCCAAATTTTTGACGTAATATGCTCATAGCCTCGTAGTAGCCCTCTTTTGGCTTCATAAACTTACAGCACTGTATAGCTCTTGCAGCATCTCCAGTGCAATATCTCATCAAATACATTAACTTCAATTCATCATTTAATAAAAAACCACTCAACATGATCTCAAACTCCTTTACAAATTGTAAATAATCAGCCTGGTTTCCATCGAAACACCGTGGTTCAAATTTAGGGAGTTTGATGTTCCTATTATCCCTGAACGGCGAAACAGTAACATCAACCATGTCATACTTAACATCAGACACATCGTTACAATTAACAGACAAGTCACCATGACTTACTTTCCTGTTTGCATCCAAGACACTCTGTCCCTTCTTTGACCCAGGCATTGTTGAACTTGAACCAATTCCGAAAAAGTTGCAGATATTGCTTGTTCAAAGAGGACTTGACCGGCACCGGGAAAAATGAACGGCGACTATCCAAACTTTCACCAACTGTTTCAATCCGCCAGATCTGTTTCTATCGTCAGAAACTGTCAGTCTCGTCTCATAAACCGTTAATGCCCAGCTCTCGCTACGCTCGGGCCCACGCTGTTCCTTTGAGTTTCAGAAACGCTTAGTAATAACGGACGCAAAAACCAAAACACCGATCTGCTGCTTGTTATTTCTTTATTGTTACACCAACATATAAAAGGAATAAACGAACTAAGCTTTCTGACGATGTTTCACTCTTCTTTCTGAACAGCGACCGATGAGACGATGACTGTCGTATTGATGCCTCCGCGAAAATCGGGGAAGTTGATTTTGAGCAAACAACCAAGAATTGATCGTTCAATCTTCAACTCCATTGACAACAGGAATCACTCATTGGATGCTGACCACCACTGTTTAATTCAACTTGTTTAGCTGAAGGCTTCCAATCAATCATCCCCGCCATTTGGTACCTCGTCGTGTCACGTGCACGATCACTAGCTAGCTAAGCGTTCGTCTAACGGCTTGTTTTGGTTCCTAAATATATCTCTTGGTTTGGACGATCAATTATTGGCTTTAGCTTTGTCTTTGGTACGCGAGAATAAATTAATTAGAAGTTGTTGAACGAGATATCACGTCAAACCTTTAAAAGTTTTATATAACGATGTTAATGTGACGTGGCAATCGAAAAGCGTGTCTAGGTACGCAGCATCTGTGGGAAACCTTATATTGTTCGGATTCGACTTCCTCTTCGTTATCACATCCATGAAAATGAACTGGCTGCCAAAAATCATCATGTGCATCCCCTCATATTGCTGCGTGCTGACATCACTTCTACAGTCGAAACGCAATAGTAATAATATGTCCTCATTTGGGTGTACATGAGGGAGGCCATTTTGCAGGCATCATGAATACATCCAATCATAAAATATGGAGTAAGCATATTCACAGTAGCTAATGTCTATTTGAGACTTTTATTGGCATCGGTGGTGGAACAATCCTAATAAGGTTTCCTAGCAGGGATTGAAGCAAAGTACATTCCCGAATTCTGGTTGTCAGCACTATTGAGGGTTTAACGAAAGGCGCGCGTTGTTTTTCGTGGCGAGCTGTAAGGCACGGCAAGTCAGGCGGCCTTCCAATGTGTAAACTGTGCTTGTCTAACTCCAGGTTGGCTACGTAGCGTGTAGGAACTGGTCTCTCTAGTGTGGCAGTAAATACTCTTTGGTTGGTAAAAGACTTCAGATTTAGACATGGTAAATCGCATCCCCATATTTTTGTGGTGGTATGTGACCTGTTGCATCAGAAATGCAAAGTCGTGGCGTTTATTCAAACTGATGTACTTTGGTTGTTTCGAAAGTCGTAAGGCTGCTTCAGTAAGACGTCATTCGCTTTACTGATACTAATGCTTGTCTTGTTAATGGCTGCAAGTGGCTCACCGCAGCAGTGCGCAGCTAAGCGTTTGAAGAAGTATAACTACCTCGATAGCAAACAGAAACGGGCAAATCTCAGTTTGCACGCGGTTAGCAACCAGGATGACATCGAACTAACCCATATGAAGTGTTACGAGGCACACTGAAGATGAAAATCACCCTCACAATTAGGTTTGTGATGGGACCCTTCGGAAATATTCATCATTTCAGTAGTCTCCCAGATTTGAAATAATGGATAAGATCTGTAGATCAGGTGGATGATTTTGGTGTGGTTGCGTTATCCTAATTGCGAATCCTTATTTGTCGTTCTAGACAATGTCTTCAGCGCCAGCTTTAATATGAATACATTCTCCATGAGTGATGGAATTCTGAAAGAAGTAAAAACGACAAATGCACCAGGTTAGTATAAGCTAATCTCATCAATCTATCCTGGTACATTTGTCGTTCTTGCTTGGTTCAAGTTTGTTGATGTGAAGAATTGTATGCGGCTTTAAATGATATAATTGTATCTCCTGACAACCATTGTCGTAATTACTTGTTAATTCACACTTTTGTTGATCGTTTCCATTGGCTTGGTGTTGGGATACTTTTGTCGTGTTGTTCATTCTTTTTTTAAGAGACGATTCATCTCTCATTTTTTCAATATTTTTGTCAGTTGCTCTCCGGGTTCAGTGGGATCTTCTAAAGACGTCTGTTTTAAAAGCTTCTTGTCACTGGATAAAATCGGTGAAATTCTATCAAGATAGTCTGATTTGTTCAGCAGAACACTTGCAAAAGCTACATCCGTGCTTGTCATGATGAAATTCTTGTTCTTCTTCAATTCTTTCAACTGATTTCAATGCTCTTTGGACAGAAAATTACGAAGGGTAGATTTTATTGATGTAATCGAGACATCGATTTAAGACTTCAAATGGGATCCATGAAACTGGGACTGGATCGTCTGTCTGATTAAATAGATTCTCCAGTTGAACTTTTATGTTCAATTCAGTAGCTCTTGATGTTACGTCACAGAAGACTCTCCAACCTCGCTCACCAAAGGAGAACATAGTTGTTTCTATATCTCGATAACAGGAGGTCTGGTGAACTGAGGACACAAAGCTCCACTTGGGTAATCCTTCAAATTCCTATACAAGATCCGACCAAACATCTCAATGGGAGTGAGATCAAGACATCTGGACATAGCTAGAGCATTAGCGATGCAAAAGTTCAAGTTAAAACAGGTACGTCCAATCTTTGTCTTCACCATGGTCATCATAAACAGTTCAATTTCTCAATAATTATTATCCGATTATTTTCCCTATCCGAGCTTCCTATTAATTTTCTTTATTATCTCGTGTCTAATTCCCGTATGCACAAACGGTCAGCTTTTTCAACAATTGGTGAAAAGTTCGCATTAAGACATAGAAAATCAAAACAAGTGATTCAACGAAGTCTCTTCAACGAGTTTGTCGTCAAGCTGTACAATCGTATATATATATATATATATATATATATATATATATATATATATATATATATGTATATATGCATATAAATGATTGGTTGGAGGATCTCATCATGATCTGACATCAGATAGAGAGCCATTGGAGAACCTGGGAGCACTGGACAGCCGTTTCGTCCCAGTTCGGGACTCGATAACAGTACGCAACTCTCAGCAGGGGCACGAGTTCCTTCAAGGTTGCAGATATGCCTTCCTGACAAGTGCCAACTAGCACCAAACCTAGGTCCAAGGCTTCCTACCTATTGTCTCCTATCATCTGGTATATAAATGACTATTAATAATGTGAAGTGATGAAAATGTGATTCCACAGTGCCCAAGTTTTACACATATAGTAATGATGAAAATGTGTATTCGCCTAGATCGTGTTATTTACTATCATCTACCTAAAATGAAAAAAGTGACAAAGAACAGGAAGATAGGAAGAAGTACTAGGAGTCCTCAAGGAGTGATATATATATATATATATATATATATATATATATATATATATATACATTTATATTCACTTTGCTTGGAAATCATGAAATGTATTGGCACAATAACTAGCCATGTTATGCTAACGTCTATATTACATGTAGGAGTTGATGTTTATGCCCTATCTAGAAATGTTTGGCAATTCTAACTAAGAAGACACTACGATTTTATGTATGGAACACCTTTAATATGCATAACTATGATTTATAAATTGATATCCACTCTGTTTTCTTTGTTTTTCCCGAACAATACAGAAGACAATGTATTCTAGAAACGAGAAGCGCCATTCTGTTTTCGTTGGTTGCTAACTTATTTTGAAAGAGAATTTTCCCACAGGGATACTATGGTTTTATGGGAGGTATGTTTCATTGTTGCATTTATAATAATTGTTGATTAATTATTGTTAACTAATCAATACTAAGCATAGAATTTTTTGGCTTATCTCTCCTGCTTTGAAAGAAGACAGCAGGCATTATGGTATGACGATCATTTAATGTCTCTTGTGAATATCTATCGGTTATCATGCACATTCTGTCCCTCAACTTCTTACATTTAATATTGTATTACGGTGAAGAATAATTTGCTGACAATAATTAGCTTCGTGACCACACATCACGTTTAAGAATAGACAGCTAACAAGCTACTTTTGCACCATACAGTGATCTGTTCGCATGTTATCTGTAAAAGATTTTTGTCAGGGTTTTTCAGCAACCAATAGTTACTGTGCAATCGTGATTTGTTCATCTATGAAGTATGGATGTTTAAGGTGTGTTCGCTGCACTTTTCGTCTGTTAGACTAACTTTTGCTCTCGACTTGCTATTGGTTTCACTTGTTTCAAGAATGCTGTACAAACCCTTGTAAAGTTAGGAGATATTCTGAGTTGGAAACGTTTTGATTCCTGCACAACTCCGGGGCTATTTGCATTATTCACGTTTGAGTCAGTATCAATTCATCTACTTTAATTTATTGTACGCTAACTAAAGATTCATACAGATTATGTTTATCTCCACTGGATATGATTGCTTCAGGATACCATTTCAGACCTTATAAGTTGAGTGACAATAACTCCTAGATGACTTGCAAAACTACTGTCAGTGTAAACCAGTAGTTTTCAGCAACTAGCTGAATATATATGTAAGATTGTGGAGCTAATTTCGATAAAATATTCTGCAACATCGACACCGATTTCAACCTAATGAAAATTTATTGTCACCAGAAATGTGATTCGGTTGGCTTATTTGCATTTTGAATTCGCAACTGGATATAGACTTTGTGAACTTCCAAGATGGATTTCGCACCGTCAATACATTTCAGATAGTTTCAGCAAAGGTGGGATTAGAAAGGAAGGCTGGTAGATGTCGCCGAGTCATTTTTGTATGTGCAGCAGTAGCGGCAATAATATCATATATAACAACGTCACTTACCATCTAGTACTGCGCCAACTTATTCCTACAGTTGGGTAGTGATCAAGGAGAATATTTTGACAATTTTTCGCTGCTGCTTCTTGCTTCTCTAATACAGTTGGTACTATTCTGCAGGTTAGTGAGTCATCTTCACTTCCCTCTGTGACCACAAACAACGGTGAAAGCCATAGAAACACCCCAGACAGCCTTTTGAAGCCACGTCGCCAACTTCATATAGGAGCATTTGACGTCAAGACCCTCTGCCAAATCGGACAACAGGCGCATCACTAGCAAGAACTCTGGCACCTTGAGCCATAGATGTATGTTGTGTTTCGGAGACACGTATACAAGACCCGAGTGTGGTCATTCATTTAACCTCACCGGGTCAACAAGGTGAATCAGCAAAATTCACTTTAAGGGTGTCAGAAGACCCCTCAGCTAGCTCGTGAGGACTCGCAGGTGTAGGGATAGCACTGTGAGTGTTAGGGCGGAAAAGTCGCTTTTTGATTGGATCCCAGTAGATAGTCGTATGTGCGCGGTCCGTCTGAATGGGTCACTTAAAAGAAGGAAACAGGGTGCTATCCGTCCGTCTTTTCGTAGTCTCCGCTTACGCCCCAACAAACTGCAGTTAGGATGAACTAAAGGATGACTTCTACCTGAAACTGTCTAATTTGTTGCAAAAAGCAAAACGCTCGGATATAGCAGGCGACTCCAATGCCCAAGTAAGAAAGTTGTGCCAGACTGAGAAGTATATAGTATAGGTGGTACGTACGGAGTCCCCTGCCGATGAACCGACAACGGTGATCGTCTTCTACAGTTTTGCTCAGATAATCATCTGTTCCTAGTCAGCACTAACTTCAGGCACAAAGAGAGACATTGTGTAATCTGGCGACCTCCATCACCAAATCAACGCTGGACTCAGATAAACCACATAGCCATAGAGTATCGTTGGTGGGGGTCAGTAGAAGACTGTCGCTCCTTCTGGAACACGTGCGTAGACTCTGATCACGCTCTGGTTCGCGCACGTTTATGCTTACGACTAAACGGACATAAGAAATTGACGGCAGCGAAACAGTTACGTCCCCAACTAGATCGAGACTTTGAGCCCCTGTTTAAGGAAGAAATAGCGAAACGAGTGTCTGAGGTCGACAGCAGGACTTCCCCTGAGGTAGCCTGGCACAACATACAGTTAGCTGTAGACACAGCTGTGAAAACTGTTAATAAGCTAAAACCAAAAGTAAGTAAGAGCCATTGAATCTCTACCGCCTCATCTGAACTGATTGACGCAAGAAGACTGATTCCGGCGAGCTCTGATTATGATGATGAGCGAAAGCTACTCAAACAAAAACTAACAAGAAATCTTCGCAACGACTGTGAGCAGTAGTGGGCAACAAAAGCGAAAGATATGGAAAAGGCATCGGCAATTGGTAACACCAGACAGCTATTTAGGTTTATCAGGGAAACAGGCGGTAAGAGGCAAATGATAAGTGAAACAATCTCTGAGAAGAATGGTAGCATAATTAGCTCCCAGGATAGACGACTTGAACGCTGGAAAGAACACTATGAGGAGCAGTTTAATTGGCCAACAGCCACGCTCAACCTCCCGAACATCCAACACCTCCCTGAATGGGATATAGACACAGGTCCTCTGTCCTTAACTGAGGTCACTAAAGCTGTCACCAATCTGAAACTAGGCAAAGCAGTGGGACCTGATGGAATGACTCCAGAGGTATTTAAGTACGGTGGAGACAGTTTACTGTCTGCATTAACTGAGGTTCTAGGCAGCGTCTGGGAATCAGAGGAAGTCCCGTCGGGTTGGTGTAAGTCACTGATTATCCCCATATACACGAAGGGAGACAAGTCTTCCTGTGATAATCACAGAGGGATTAGCGTGACTAATATAGTATCTAAAGCCTTAGTCTCAATAATCATGCGTAGACTAAGTGGTGCTCGGGAGGCACAAACACGAGAGAACCAGGCAAGCTTTAGATCAGGAAGAGGGTGTATTGATCATATCTTCATCCTCCGACAGATTCTAGAACATAGGGATTCCTACCGGCGTCCAACAATCACTGTATTTCCTGACCTAAAGGCGGAATTCGATTCTGTCGACCGAGAGGTTCTCTGGCGATGCTTGGCTGTAAAGGGTATTCCGAGAAAATATATTGCACTGATCAAGGCACTCTACTCGTACTCATGCAGCCGGGTGAGGGCTTACGGCGAGGTGTCATCTGAAGTGGTGACAACTAGTGGTGTCCATCAAGGATTCCTATTATCCCCATTTCTATTCAACTTCATCATAGATGGACTTAACCCTAACTCATTTCAGAGACTGAGGGATTGACTTGCTACCAGGGAATAATCTCGTTGACTTAGAATATGCAGACGATATAGTCCTCCCTCTAGGTGAAGACGCTGACGAAATGCAGAGTCTTCTAAACACCTTGAGCAGCAATCTACGAATGTTTGGCATCCGATTCGCTCCCGCCAAATGCAAGATGATGTTACAGGACTGGACTACATCGACACCTAGTTTAAAAATAGGAAGTGAAGTGGTAGAACACGTTGACCGCTTCACTTATTTGGGAAGTACCATCAGCCCCAACGGGCTGATCTCTGACGAAATCTCAGCACGAATACAAGGGCTCGTTTCGCATTTTCCAGTTTACGCCGACTCTGGCGTAGACGAGATGTTCGACTATCGACCAAAGGGCGGGTGTACTGCTCATCAGTCCACTCCGTCCTCCTTTATGGTTGTGAGACCTGGCCACTGAGAGTGGAAGACATGAAAAGACTAGCTGTCTTTGATCATAGGTGCCTGCGTTCTATTTCCCGTGTAAAGTGGCATGATAAGGTGAGCAACATTGAGGTTAGGCGTAGAGTTCTAGGTAGACAGGGGAAATCAATCGACGAAGTCGTGAAGCTACAAAGACTGAGATGGTTAGGACATGTGTTACGTATGCCAAGTCATCGCCTCCCTTGACGAGCTATGTTAGCGGATATAGGGTCAGGCTGGAAAAAAGCTAGCGGCGGTCAAACAAAAACTTGGCATCAGTCAATGAAATCCACAACAGTTGGTCTAAGCCACGTAAGAAGGTGTAGACTTCCAGGCTGGGGTCCTCGGGACGGTAAAAATCTATGGTTGGAAACAATTGGTGACATGGCTCAAAACCGTTCTCAGTGGCGCAGATGCATCCACTCCCTGTGACTTATGATCTTCAATGAAACTGTTTTGTATTTCTTTATTACTCCTTTGTCTCACACCTCTGCTCACTGTTTCTATTATACTTTTCTTGTACTTTCTTCTCTTGCTTCGCGTGCTACACGGAATGTGGCGACTTGAACTTCCGCACATTTGTGCAAAGTTCTATGTCGAAAACAGACAGACAGACAGACAGATTATCCCCATATACACGAAGGGAGACAAGTCTTCCTGTGATAATCACAGAGGGATTAGCGTGACTAATATAGTATCTGAAGTCTCAGGCTCAATAATATTGCTTAGACTATGTGGTGCTCGGGAGGCACAAACACGAGAGAACCAGGCAAGCTTTAGATCAGGAAGAGGGTGTATTGATCATATCTTCATCCTCCGACAGATTCTAGAACATAGGGATTCCTACCGGCGTCCAACAATCACTGTATTTCCTGACCTAAAGGCGGAATTCGATTCTGTCGACCGAGAGGTTCTCTGGCGATGCTTGGCTGTAAAGGGTATTCCGAGAAAATATATTGCACTGATTAAGGCACTCTACTCGTACTCATGCAGCCGGGTGAGGGCTTACGGCGAGGTGTCATCTGAAGTGGTGACAACTAGTGGTGTCCATCAAGGATTCCTATTATCCCCATTTCTATTCAACTTCATCATAGATGGACTTAACCCTAACTCATTTCAGAGACTGAGGGATTGACTTGCTACCAGGGAATAATCTCGTTGACTTAGAATATGCAGACGATATAGTCCTCCCTGCTAGGTGAAGACGCTGACAAAATGCAAAGTCTTCTGAACACCTTGAGCAGCAATCTACGAATGTTTGGCATCCGATTCGCTCCCGCCAAATGCAAGATGATGTTACAGGACTGGACTACATCGAATCCTAGCTTAGAAATATGAAGTGGAGTGGCAGAGCACGTTGACCGCTTCACTTATCTGGGGAGTCGCATCAGCCCCAACAGGTTGATCTCCGACGAAATCTCAGCTGGGTACGGATACAGAGGGTTAGTTTCGCATATGCTAGTTTATGCCATCTCCGACTTAGTAGACGTGATATCCGAATATCGACCAAAAGGCGGGTGTACTGCTCATCAGTCCACTCCGTCCTCCTTTATGGCTGTGAGACCTGGCCACTGAGAGTGGAAGACATGTAAAGATTAGCTGTCTTTAATCATAGGTGCCTGCGCTCTATCTCCCGTGTGAAGTGGTATAATAAGGTGAGCAATATTGAGGTTAGGCGTAGAGTTCTAGGTAAGCAGGGGAAATGAATCTACGAGGTTGTGAAGTTACATAGACTGAGATGGTTAGGACATGTGTTACGTATGCCTAGTCATCGCCTTCCTCGACTGACGGGCAATGTTATCTGACATAGGATTGGTCAGGCTGGAAAAGAGCTATCGGTGGACAAACCAAAACATGGCACCAGTCAATGAAATCCACAACAGTTAGTTTAAGCCGGCTACGTAGGGAGGTGTAGACTTCCTGGTTGGTGTCCTCGAGACGGTAAAAACCAATGGTTGAAAACAATTGGTGAAATGGCTCAAAATCGTTCTCAATGGCTAGTGTAGATGCATCCACTCCTTGTGACTTTTGATTTCCAATGAAACTATATTGTTCTTCGTTATTACTATTCCTTTGTCTCACACCTCTGTTTACTGTCTCTAGTATGCATTTCTTCTACCTTCTTCTCTTGGTTTGTGTGCTACATGGAGTGTGACGACTTGAACTGGTGCACATCGGTGCAAAGTTCTATGTCGAAAACAGACAGACAAGAAGAATTGTTGTGGGATCAATCTTTTATACTTAATCCTGTTAATGATCAAATGTGAAACCACCTAAAAGTTAAAAAAAGTGATAATCTCCATAATACTGTGAGGTGATTAACTGCATGTATCTGTGTATGAATTTGAATAGTATTAATGATGTTACAGTTCGAAGTGTTTAAAGGGATGACTTTGAAGTCCATTTTGAGATTACTGTTACGATGGGTGTTTTTCTCATCTCTGTGTTACTGTCGTAGAATTTTTATCATTTGGATTTTAGAACAGACATTTCTGTCGAGTAACGGACTGAAGTCTATGCGCGTTTAGTCACTTTCTCATAGGATTTCACGACTTCGAGTATTTTCTTCTATTCTCATTTAGGTAATTTGGACAGATTATCGTACAAAAAATTTCCATATATTTTTCGCTGCTGCTGTGCTATTAATGCAAAGAGATAATATAATGAACAAGAAATATGATGCAAATAGTATATTGAAGGTAATTTTGACCTTATTCAAATGTTTTACTATTATTTATATTATTCGGACATAGTGAAACATTGACACGATATACTACACCAGATCTGAAAGTATTTTTTTTTCATTTTTACTTGTAATGACTGATGGGTTGGTTAACAGTACTGTGGTGATGTGAATGACAGAATTTGTTGAGCGGTTGAACTTTTATTATTCTACCAAGTCAACGTCCATTGTGGGCAATTTAGGTTATTTTATTGGAAAATAACCAATTCAACTTTTGAAAATAAGGCCAACATTACAATTATGAAAAAAAGGCGATCCAGACTATGGCTTATGTTGATACTACTGTTGTTATAAACAGTTTAACGGTTTAACTATCTGATTGACTTGTCAACGTAGAACTTCACACAGGTCACTGTATATATAGCACACAAAGGTGAAGCAAATAAATTCAGGAGACTATAATGAACAGAGATGTATGGGGAAGATAATAAGTAAGTGGAAAGTAATGAGACTTTAATGGACCTTATAGTTCAAAGAGAGTGAATAAATCTGCAGCGTCGAGAACAGTTTTGAGCCATATCACCAACACTCTGTAGTCATTCGTTCTTACAGCGTGGGTCTCCCAAGCTACACAGTCTCCATCTCCTTACGTGGTTCAAGCCAACAGACGTCATGAACTGGTGCTGAGTTTTGGAAAATTCGCATGTGATGTAATTAAGAACAAATAAATCAGCAAAGAGCTCTGTTTTGATAACTTCACTTCAAACCTGTACAGTTATTTGGGGTGGGAAGGGGTTCTACTTAAAATGTTGGCTGACAACAGAGGTCAAAGGTTATTGCGTCATCTCGTTCCTAACTGACAGTGCACATGTCCTCTGATAGATATCTGTCTACGTTGGAGATGACATAAGTTGGTCAATGGTACATGAAGCTTTTGTGGCCGTGCTGTGAGATTTCGTCAGAACTCAACTGATTACGTCTGATGCGTCGTGTGAAATAAGTGAGGTGGCCAACGCGCCCAACCCGGACCAAATGCTGCTACCTTGACGTGGTGGTCGGGCTTGAACACCGCAGTGACCCAACAAGCTATACTGGCTGAGACTTATGTCGCTTGAGGTCCTACCATGCCAGAAAGGTTGTTTGGATAGCGGTTAGACAAAAAGCAGCCACCCAACTCAATACTATGATTCAAACAAATTCACAAAATATCATGGCGGATCGGTCGGGGCTCGACTGCGCTTCCTGCTGCCGTGTCAAGGGCAGAAGTGATAAATATGCTACTGAGACACACCACACAAAATGAGTCATCTTCACTTCACTCTGTGACCACAAACAACGGTCAAAGCCATAGAAACACCCCAGACAGCCTTTTGAAGCCACGTCGCCAACTTCATATAGGAGCATTTGACGTCAAGACCCTCTGCCAAATCGGACAACAGGCGCATCACTAGCAAGAACTCTGGCACCTTGAGCCATAGATGTATGTTGTGTTTCGGAGACACGTATACAAGACCCGAGTGTGGTCATTCATTTAACCTCACCGGGTCAACAAGGTGAATCAGCAAAATTCACTTTAAGGGTGTCAGAAGACCCCTCAGCTAGCTCGTGAGGACTCGCAGGTGTAGGGGTAGCACTGAGGGGTGAATCGCATGGCAAACAAACCAGGATTTCTGCTCAAAGTGTTCAGAAGAGATTGTTCTTTGTCATTGTCTTCATGTTGAGGATCTGTATCATGTTGATACTGTAAATCGGCGAGATGGTTTCCTGATAACAAGTCAATCCCTAAGTATACTTTATTTACTTATTCAAATACAATACAATACGAGCAAGGGAATATGTGCCATAAAAGAAATAATAAAACAATATAAGGTAAATATGAATAGAGTAAATGAGAGGCGACATCGGCAAGCCATCCCAGCGTTATGTTTCATGAGCATTCAAATCGTGGTTGATTTCAGGTTTGACTGTCAAAGTAGGTAGTAGAATGGGGTCAGTTGGACTAGCGGAGCAGAAAACCTTGCAAAATGTAGATCAGTTGACCCTAACAAAGTAAGAAATCTAGAAAATAGCTCAGCTTTGGGACTGCATTCAATTACACACAAGCATACAATGAGATTAGGGAAGATGGAGTCTCGAAATGTAAGGTAACAGGGTGGAGGGAGAGACTGATAACGGAAGCATTATGTGTCAAGAGACTAATACTTCAATGATTGTCTCGTTTTAAAGGTAGGCGTGATAAAAGCCTCACTTCACACTGATGAAACATTCTCATCACTTCCTCATGCTTTCCTGAGTAATCCAGTTAGTTCCGCGACTAGAGTCTCACAGATTTGCAGGCGAATTAGGGAAACCTAGTGGTTTGTAGCGAGGGATTCTTCTAAGGCGCAAGAGGCTCAACTCACCATTTCCATGGCGTCTTGTGAGTGCACCCAGTGTTCGTCTATACTATCTGAGAAGTTAATAATGGGTAGTCTTGACTGTGGTTAGGTTTCATACACGGTAGCGGAAGCAGGTCTGTCTGTCTGTTTTCGACATAGAACTTTGCACAAATGTGCGGAAGTTCAAGTCGCCACATTCCGTGTAGCACGCGAAGCAAGAGAAGAAAGTACAAGAAAAGCATAATAGAAACAGTGAGCAGAGGTGTGAGACAAAGGAGTAATAAAGAAATACAAAACAGTTTCATTGAAGATCATAAGTCACAGGGAGTGGATGCTGCCACTGAGAACGGTTTTGAGCCATGTCACCAATTGTTTCCAACCATAGATTTTTACCGTCCCGAGGACCCCAGCCTGGAAGTCTACACCTTCTTACGTGGCTTAGACCAACTGTTGTGGATTTCATTGACTGATGCCAAGTTTTTGTTTGACCGCCGCTAGCTTTTTTCCAGCCTGACCCTATATCCGCTAACATTGCTCGTCGAGGGAGGCGATGACTTGGCATACGTAACACATGTCCTAACCATCTCAGTCTTTGTAGCTTCACGACTTCGTCGATTGATTTCCCCTGTTTACCTAGAACTCTACGCCTAACCTCCATGTTGCTCACCTTATCATGCCACTTTACACGGGAGATAGAACGCAGGCACCTATGATCAAAGACAGCTAGTCTTTTCATGTCTTCCACTCTCAGTGGCCAGGTCTCACAACCATAAAGGAGGACGGAGTGGACTGATGAGCAGTACACCCGCCCTTTGGTCGATAGTCGAACATCTCGTCTACGCCAGAGTCGGCGTAAACTGGAAAATGCGAAACGAGCCCTTGTATTCGTGCTGAGATTTCGTCAGAGATCAGCCCGTTGGGGCTGATGGTACTTCCCAAATAAGTGAAGCGGTCAACGTGCTCTACCACTTCACTTCCTATTTTTAAACTAGGATTCGATGTAGTCCAGTCCTGTAACATCATCTTGCATTTGGCGGGAGCGAATCGCATGCCAAACATTCGTAGATTGCAGCTCAAGGTGTTTAGAAGACTCTGCATTTCGTCAGCGTCTTCACCTAGCAGGAGGACTATATCGTCTGCATATTCTAAGTCAACGAGATTATTCCCTGGTAGCAAGTCAATCCCTCAGTCTCTGAAATGAGTTAGGGTTAAGTCCATCTATGATGAAGTTGAATAGAAATGGGGATAATAGGAATCCTTGATGGACACCACTAGTTGTCACCACTTCAGATGACACCTCGCCGTAAGCCCTCACCCGGCTGCATGAGTACGAGTAGAGTGCCTTAATCAGTGCAATATATTTTCTCGGAATTCCCTTTACAGCCAAGCATCGCCAGAGAACCTCTCGGTCGACAGAATCGAATTCCGCCTTTAGGTCAGGAAATACAGTGATTGTTGGACGCCGGTAGGAATCCCTATGTTCTAGAATCTGTCGGAGGATGAAGATATGATCAATACACCCTCTTCCTGATCTAAAGCTTGCCTGGTTCTCTCGTGTTTGTGCCTCCCGAGCACCACTTAGTCTACGCATGATTATTGAGCCTAAGACTTTAGATACTATATTAGTCACGCTAATCCCTCTGTGATTATCACAGGAAGACTTGTCTCCCTTCGTGTATATGGGGATAATCAGTGACTTACACCAACCCGACGGGACTTCCTCTGATTCCCAGACGCTGCCTAGTACCTCAGTTAATGCAGACAGTAAACTGTCTCCACCGTACTTAAATACCTCTGGAGTCATTCCATCAGGTCCCACTGCTTTGCCTAGTTTCAGATTGGTGACAGCTTTAGTAACCTCAGTTAAGGACAGAGGACCTGTGTCTATATCCCATTCAGGGAGGTGTTGGATGTTCGGGAGGTTGAGCGTGGCTGTGGGCAAATTAAACTGCTCCTCATAATGCTCTTTCCAACGATCCAGTCGTCTATCCTGGGAGCTAATTATAGTGCCATTTTTTTCCGAGATTGTCTCACTGATGATTTGTCTTCTCCCACCCGTTTCCCTGATGAGTCTAAAGAGTTGCCTGGTGTTGCCTATCCTCGGAGCTTTCTCCATCTCTTTGGCTTTTGTCGCCTACCACTGTTCACGGTCCTTGCGGAGACTTTTCGTAAGTTTCCTCTTGTGCAGCTTTCGCTCCTCATTGAATTTGGAGCTCGCCGGAATAAATCCTCTAGCATCTATCAGTTCGGATGAGGCGGTGGAGATCCAGTGGTTTTTACTCACCTTTGGGTTTACTTTATTCACAGCTTTTTCAGCTGTATCTATGGCTGCCTGGATATTTTTCCAAGCTTCTTCAGGGTGAGCACAGCTGTCGAACACAGATATGTGTTTAGCTAGTTCTTCCTCAAATACGGATTTAGTTTCCTGATCGAGCTGGGGACGTGATGGTTTTACCGCCAGCTGTTTCCTACGTCCGTTCAGTCGTAAGCACACCCGAGCGCGGACCAGTGCATGGTCGGTATCTACGCACGTGTTCCAGAAGGAGCGACAATCTCCTACCGACCCACGCCAACGATAGCTTATTGCTATGTGGTCTATTTGTGTCCAGCGTTGGTTTGATGAAGGGGGTCTCCAAGTCAAACAGTGTCTCTCCTTGTGTTTAAAGTTAGTGCTTACAAGAAACAAATGATTATCAGAGCAGAACTGTAGGAGACGGTCACCGTTGTCGGTTCGCTGGCACGGTGCTCCATAGGTGCCACCGACATCCTTCTTACTGATCCGTTCAGGCGGACAGCACACATTCGGCTATCTACCGGGATCCAGTCAAGCAATGTCTTTTCTGCCCTAGTACTCAAAGCTATCCCTACGCCAGCTAATCCTCGTGAACTAGCTGTGGCATCTCCTGACACCCTCAGGGTGAATTTTGCAGATTCAACCTGTTGGCCAGGTGGGGTTAGGTGAATAACCACACTTGGGTCTTGTATGCGTGTTTCTGAAACACAGCATACATCAATGGCTCGTGATGCCAGGGTCTTGGCTAGTGATGCTTGTTGTCCTATTTGGCAAAGTGTCCTGCGGAAGCAGGTGCTTCCAGTTTACCTACGTCAACCTGTTGGGGACGTTGTTTATGATCCCCACTAAATCTGAAGATGAACCTGGCAGATTCTAGAGCATGTGATCACTCCAACTGTCGATAGATACATAGGTAGATACAGCTGTGGATATCACGATTATATGAAAGAAATTTCTGAAGACGTAGGGTTATCCTACGTTACAAACTGTTGACCAAGCAGCTGCTAGAGTACAAGAGGATCGATTGAGACTAAATGGACAATGCGATTGCATGGTTCGCTTCAGAGATATATAGTTCTATTGTGTATGCTATGTGGACGTTGCTGAATTAGACCTGTTTGTGTCAAATTAGTTTGCAAAGTTTCAGCTGACTGAAGTTTGCTTACACATATAAACCTTCCTAGTGCCGTAATAGTCAGTCAGTGACCTTATAGTGTGATTCACCCTCCAGCCTTCCACATAGATACAAGTCTACAAAGTGACCAACAGGACTAACTCAATTGTTAAGACCGCACTTGTCAAGCAATATAGGCTCTGAGCAACAGTTAATTCTGCTTGTTTAAGACGTTATCAATTATATTGTCTCGTAATCTAGTCTGACGTAGAGAATGCGACGTATAACCTTGTAAGTCGATTGGTCTACTGTTAGTTTTATATAATACAGTTGTAATATCATTTGTTAATGTATTCCAATTTTTTCTCATTCATCAATGTTTACCACATTTATATATCGAGTGTAGTATAATATTCTGCCGTATAAAATAATAAACACGAGTATCAGTGTACTGTGCTGTATTGTATCTGCGATTTTCTCATTCCGTGTCGGATGACTGAGTTTCAATGTAGAACTTGGTACAAAGTGTAGCACTTGAAGTTGGCACACTCTATGTAGCACACAGAGGTAGAGAAAAAGCAATTCAAAAGAACTATAATCAGCAGAAATATGTGGGAGAAAGGATGGTAATATGGAAAGACATGAGGATTTCATTATGAAGGGAGAATACATTTTTGCCGTTTAGAACGGTTTTGAGGTGTGTCACCGATAGTCTCCAACCATCAGTTCTTAGCCTCCTGAGGACTGTAACCAGAGAGTGGCTCAAGCCAACTCAACGATTTCATGGATTGATGCCGAGTATTAGTTTTACCACTCCTAGTTCTTTTCCAACCTAATCTTGTGCTAGCTAGCATTGCTGCTTGAGGTAGGCGATGGCGTGGTGTGCGCAACATGTGCCCTAACCATCTCAGTCTATGTAATTTCACAATGTCATCGATTGACTTCAGTGTATGATGCATTTACCTAACCGTGCAACTGAAATAGTTTCTACTTAACTGCTTTTCTGCTTTCTTCTTCTCCTCCTCCTCGTCCTCACCAACTTAGCATGTGAATGAATTATCAATGGAAATTCCACTAGAAGAATCCCTTAATTATGCTACAGCTTTATTGTCCCAGTTAGAACGAATTTCCGATTCTTTACCGAAATCCGTACGAAATGTTATCGATGGACAGTCGTTGGCGATGACTAGACATGTCAGTGAATCAAAACAGAAAGGAATCAATTATTCAGATCTATCGTCTATGTACGACTATTCGCCGACCCTATTAAATGAAGAATTAGAGGTGCTGATGGATAATGAAATGTATGAATGTATGAATTTAACACCTTGATTACAAACTGAACTGAGCAACTTGAGTTATGTTTTGCGAAATATTATATTTCTTCTTGTATCATTTTGATTTTGCTTGATTGCTTTTGTTACAAAGTCGGTTTTTCTATTTGCCAAAGCGAAACATAGTCTTCTGAACACTTGTCTACTTATCGCATTGATATTTGTAAGCATACATATGAAGGTGACAGAAATCTCAGACTGTTTTTCTGAGCTGTAGGATGAGATGTAGGCTGTGATTTTTAAGACGCTAGGTAAGAGTCAGAGTTTGGAGCTTCTGTCAAGTGACGTGGGATAATCCACAGTATCAGGTATCTGTTCATCCCTTAATGTCGATGTTCCGATCAACACCACTGTCTGTCTGTTGGATTATTGTATTATTTCCCACACATTTTTGTTGTCTGAAGTGTCTTAATATTTCGGTTCTCTGCTGGTTTTCCGAAAAGTGACAACTTGGACTTATCACGTTGGTTTGTCCTTACATCTGTGTTTTAAGCATGAGTGATCGTATGCATACTGTTGTTGTATTTTGCTTAGCTTCAGTGATCGATGCAATCTTAGCCTAGTCATCTGGAGTTTCTCCCACTAAGCTATGAAGTCTCTTTTCATTTAATATTTTAAAACAAGAAATATTATGAGACTTCGTTCAGATATTAAGTCTCCACATGACTTGTCAAGCTGAGTATTTGATACATGTGATAATTTATATGAAATCACAACTTTTCAATACATAGAGTTGGAGACAGGTACATTAAGATGTGAACAAGTTACTGGGAAGTTTTGCGTCTAATAGATGCTGGGTTAAGAGTTCATTAGTAGATATGGATTAACGTCGGTGCATTATATCATGTGTTATCAGTTAGGTGGACATGCATCGGAAACCGCAATGTATCCAGAGGTATTTTCAACACAAGGTGACTACCCCATTCAGGGAGAAGTCATCACAGCTGATTGTTTTAGGGGATGTGTATTTATGCGAATGAGAAAAGAAAAAGTGGTGAATACACAATATGGACCAGTGGTCAGGTGGAGAAATAGTAGAGTTGGACGTATTCAAAGCACCACGCTCTGACGCATTGAATATCACGATGTTACTTTGACAACGTGTCAGATTGTTCACCAGAGGCAATCAAGGTAAGGTTAGGAACCGTAGTTACCAGTCATCCAAATTGTGTGTATAGTTTAGGGTGATAGTGGTGTTTTTTCACACTTTAGGGGCAGAAGTGACCAGTGTCTGATAGGTAATTTCAAACATCATTTTGGGAGTTGATAAAAGATCATGAATGCGTGCTTAATATACGTGTTAAGTCTCAGTTAGTGTTTCGATTTACCGTAGCTGTTGTATTGACTTTCTATTAATTGTTCGCCTTTTTGATACCCGTAGGTGGTGATACCCGACCTTCTTCCAAATCAAACAACTCAGTGAAGAAATAATGTAGTTGCTAATTTTTATGTGAATTGATTGATTTACCAGAGAACTGAAAATTATGTAGTTGAATTGCTTTGAGCTCGCAGGTTGAAACACGTAAATGCAAGTATTAATTGCGTAGAGAACCAGCTTCCATAAGACCGTCGATCAAGGATTGCTTATCAGAATCAGACATCGACATCGACAAACAACACTAGGACGGTGTCCTTTTCTCTCTGCAGTTCACGTATGACAAAGCTTTCATTTAGCTTTCTGGGCGTCTACTATTCCCTCAGTCTTAATCATTCAGAATATGAGGCTTCTTGTTCAACAATGATATAGTTATGAGAACTGAATTGTGCTTCGAACGTCATCCAGTTATAAGTACTCAATTACTGATTCACATCAAATAAACATCTTTAATATGCAGTTGGTTACATAATGGATGTTGAGTGGTGCAGTTCTACGCTTATTATTAGCTGACGATAGTAGTGACCAGTAAACTTGTGGAGAGACATCTTCAAGACAAACGTATGAGATATCACTTCATGCGAAGTCGGTAACGTTTGCAAAACAATGAAGCTGAGTGGTTGGTACTTCACAAGAAGGCGGTATTATGCATCGTGTGATAAAGACTTTATCTAATATTCTTACACCAACAAATCCATACGGTAAGACAATCTTCGAGCAGGTGTGTGTGTGTGTGTGCATCCTATGGTGATGTGTTTCGACAGGCATGTTGTAGGATGTGCTTGGCAGGCCACAGTGTTGGTGTAATAATTCCAACTGGGTCGAATGTCGAAGGTACACATGACGAAAGAGATTTCCTCGTTAGCTTCATGTTAGGATAACGTGTTTGAAAGTAAGTAGTAGTGTTAGTTAATAGATCCTATTTTGTACTTAGAATCCTCATTTTTCTCTTTAGATGGTAGAATATTGATGTTTGTTTCTATACGATTTCCCTCTGGTCAGTAGGCTATTTTATTATTATTATTGTTCCCTTGGGTTCCTAGTGGAACATAGGGCTTCAACTGCACGTCTCCACTAGCTTCTGTCTTCTGTTGTACTTTTCACCCGCATCCATGTTAGCCATACTGTTTCAACTCCTCTTCACACGATCTCCCCTATGTCCCACTCGCCGCTTCCCTTTCGGGTTCCACTCGAGCAATGGCCTGACGCGCGCGCGGTGTCATCCAGCGGTCTCCTCAGCGAGCGAGTGTCCAATCCTTCTCCAGTTTCTCCTGCATATTTGTAGGTTGGCGATTGGTTCTTGTTTTGTTTGTTCCTTCCCATAGTTTCTTGTTGGTGATTCTTTCCGGGCCGGCCATCTGATCTTCGGTATAGAGGGCAGACAGTTGTTGATAAAGGTCTGGTCTGCAACAGGCTGTTGGAAATATTCTGTGTGACTAGCCCGCCAAGTTTCTGATCCGTATTGAAGAACTGACTGACTTGACGATTGTATTGAAAATCCGACTGAATTTTGTTGTTGATGCTGATCTCCGACCAGTTTGTCGGTTTTCACTTGTAAGTCTTCGATTGTGTGTGACATCAAGCATAAATCATCCGCGAAATCCAGATCTTCTAGGTTCTTCGCGTCGGTCCAAGATATCCCTGTCTTCTCGTTTCCCACTGTCTGACGCATAATCCAGTCAGTCCACCACAATTAGGAATATCATTCATTGGTGATAATAAGCACCCTTGTCTGTCTGACTCCTGTGTTTATTCCAAACGCCCCGCTGAGTTTTCCGTTGTGGATCACTTGACATGTGCCGTTGTCGTGCAGCTGTTGAATAAGGTTGATGAATATTTGGGGTACGCCGTAGTACTCGAGTAGTTTCCAAATTACTTCGCGGTCAACGCTGTCGAAGGCCTCAAAATCTATAAAGTTGAGGTACAGGTTTGATTTCCATTCCATGCTTTGTTCTGTGATGATGATGCGTAGAGCTACAATTTGGTCAGAACATGATTTGCCTGACTTTCCTGAATCCAGCTTGTTCTGGTCGGAGTTCTGTCTCCAGTGCGTCCTTTATTCTCCCCAGGATGATGTGACTCAGGATTTTACTTGGCGTCGACAGGAGCATGATTTCTCGCCAGTTCTTGCAGAGTGGGGCCTAAGTCGTCCTTCTTTGGTAGTTTCACGAGGTAACCTTTCCTCCAGTCAGTAGGCACCTTTCACTCCTTACAGACCTTTTGGAATTTGGTGATTGGGTTCCCTTGACTGTCTTTTATAGGTTTCGCTTGTGTTGATCTCTTCCCAGATAGAGATTTGGTTATCTGATATAATGTCCTCAGGTCCCTTTTGGCTGCTGCCTTCTCAGCTTCAGTGGCGAGGTTGTCGTAGAATCGTCTTTTGTCCTTGCTAGCATTCTTCTTCACTTCTTTGTCCAGTGCTGTGTAAGTTGAAGTCAGCGTCTTCTTTCTTGTCCGTCCTTGCATTGAATCATTTTCTCTTTCACCATTCTCCTCTCCTTTATTAGTTTCCAAGTGTCTGTTGAGAGCCATTCCTTGTCTTGTCTCTTCTTTCTTCCTAAAACCGTTGAACACGTTTCGTTGAGAATCGCCTTCAGAGAGTTCCAATGTTCTTCCACGCATGATTCTTCAGTGATGTCGCATAGTGTTTCCTGCTTTGCTCTGACAGTTGGAGTGAAAGTGTCCTGCAGTAATTGAGTGTTAAACTTGCATTGTGGCCTATCCCCAGCTATCCTCGAGGCTTTAAGCATCACCTTGAAAGTCCTTTGTACTGGATAGTGGTCTGAACCCACATCTGCTCCTCTCCTCGACCTTGTATCCAGTAGGCTCCGTCTCCACTTTCTTGAAATTGAGATGAAGTCTATTTGGTTTTTGGTGTTTCCATCTGGTGAAATCCATGTCGCCTTGTGTTTGAAAACGCTGCCACCAATCACCAAATCATTGAAGGCTCAGAAGTCTGAGAAGAGTTCACCATTGTCGTTCATTCCACCGAGGGCCTCTCGACCCATGGTGAGTTCTCTTCCTGTGTTGTCTCCTCCCAGCTTCACATTCATGTCGCCCATCAGGATTTTGATGTCGCCATTTGAGACGTTGTCCATTATTGCTTGTAGTTGTCTGTAGAACGCCTCCTTCTTCTCTTGTTCTGAGACGTTTGTAGGCGCATAGCATTGAATGATTGTAACCTTCCTTCCTTTTGAGTTGAGCCTGGCTGTCATGATCCTGGAGGAGATTGGTTCCCACTGCATGAGAACCTTGGCTGCTGTTGGTGACATCATGATGGTCACTCCCTTGGTGTGCTCGTGGTTGTCCTCTGTGTGACTGGAATAGATTATTGTCTCTCCAGTTGGTAGTTGGCACCTTCCAGTTCCCGTTCCATCTGCTCTCGCAGATTCCCAACACTTCTATTCTATATCTTCTCACTTCTCCGACTACCTGGGCAGCCTTTCCAGCTTCGTACATTGTACGAACAGTCGAGGTGCCCATCCTCACTTTTGCTTTCATCGAAAGAAAGCACATCGGATGACTGGCTTCCCGAAGACTAGCTTTCAGTGTTATTAATGATGAGGAAATATATGAAGTACGCAGACGTGCTCCTATCATGAACTCAGATCATTGTATTATTC